TAGGCAGATAATATGAATGCACATAGCTTGCAACAAAAGCTGTTCAATGGTTCAAATAACATTCACAGAGATGAGAATTACCTTATCTGGAGTAGAGGCACCAGATGTCACACCAATAGTGATAGGACCTCGAGGAAGCCAGTTCTCTTTCTCAACCAACTCGCCGTGCTATAAAAAATACATGATAGACAGTTATGGTAGGTATAAAAGCCATACCGAAATAAAAACAATAACTGAATGTAAAATAATCTTGTAAAGCACAACAATCTAAATTGGAATTCTGTCTTTACAGACTCACATTGAGTTTATAAGCTATTCTGTTTCCAGGGCCTATTCTCTTCTCGCTGTCAACCCAATATGAGGGAATTCCACGCTCTTCTGCAATCTCTTGTAGGTGAGAGGTGTTACTCGAGTTCCACCCACCAATGACTAACAAAAGATCTAGCTTTTCCTCAACAAGCTTGTACATTGCATCTTGTCGCTCCTGTTAAAGGAACAGACAGATCACCTTTAAGTCTCACTAAATATTCAAAAAAATGTATACATGACTATACCGGTCAGCAAGTGTAATAACATGCTCATTGGCGAACTAGCTTCACAAGGGTGTGCACATGGCTGCTGCTATGGAGTATTAGAATAAGCATTTCTTTTTCTTTTTTGGTTATTTTTATAAGCACAATCTTACAAGAGGATGAAAGGCAAGATATGGTACACAATGCTCTACAACATACCAACTTTCTAGATGTCTAGCAAGAAAAACCATGAACTGAGGAAACAACTTACTTGAGTCGCATCACATATTGTGTTGAAGCTGACAAAGTGGTCATTGATATTTTCCACTCCGTGCTTACGCATCATGGTCTTCTCAACTAATTTTCCTGTTAGATTGATCGATGCAGTCAATAATCTACACCTACTAATCTATTTGCCAAACGATAGACCAACATAGCATAACAGAAAAAACTAACCAATATCTTCTGTCTCCCCCTTAAGCATCGTAGTCTGATTCGCAATGCCAACTTTTACTAGGTCTCTGTCCGGATCAAACCCCGGGGAAATTGCCTTTTTAAATTTCTGCATTCAAAGCAAATCAAAAACACTTTAACACTGCATGATGTACAAAATATGAACAGAGCCATTTGAATTCATACAAGCAACAAAAAGAAAAATTCACCTCTAGAAACGCCTCTCTAGTTGAGCTAGACCCATTAAGTTCACCACCAAGAATATAGTCACACACATATGTTGCCTGAAATAATATTGAAACCAATAGCATCACTAGCTGAAAACTTGAAGAATGCCAACAAATGACAAAGTACAAAACTTGTATACCTCATCCATGTTTTTCACTATAATGTACTTCCCAGCAAAAGAAGCAGTGGCTACAGTTTCCTCATGAGCATATTTACCATGAATTATTGATGTGTAGTCTCCTTTCTTGTGCTTCTCCACAGTATTCCAAACCTTCACACCATAAGACCCACACTACGTATTAGACCCAATTTTTATTTTTTTCAATTTCTGGGAAAACTTCAAATAAAATAAAACGCCAAACCTTGGAAACCCATGGGCAAGTAGTGTCAACAATTTGAACATCTCTGTTACTCAAGTTGAGCATCTCATCCACTCCAGCTCCAAAAGCAGGCAAAATGACCACATCACCCTTGTTCACCACCTCAAATTGCTTCTGCCCTTCCTCTATTGGGATGTTCTCCACCTTCATCTCTTCCAATCGCTGCCCAGATTCATCTTAACTTAATTAACTAAATTAGCTACTGTAAACAAACTGAATATGAAAAAAATAAAAATAAAAAGAGGACCTTATTGACCGTTGGATTGTGGATGATCTCGTTTGTAATCCAAATCTTTTCATCAGGAAACTGCTTTCTGGCCTCGTAAGCAATCTGGACGGCTCTCTCAACGCCCCAACAGAAGCCGTACGCCTCGGCGAGCTTCACCGTCACATTTCCCCACGTGTACTCGAACTCGTTCTCCTTCAACGTCTTTATAATATCACCTGAAAAATAAAAAATTCAAAAACTCAATTAATTCAGACAAAAAAAAACGTAATTAATTAATTAATTACAGGTTCTGAGGAGATATAGCTAAAAGCTAACTATAGCTTACTGGTGTACTCGCGATTCATGAGCTCGAGGGTCGCTTCTTTGTGGCCGAAGCCTCTGCGATTGTAGTTCTTGCTTCGAGTGAGGTTCTTCCGGAAGACCTTTGCGTCGAAATCGGACTCGACCGCAGCCGAAGAGGAGGAGTCACCGGAGCATCGGACGGAGATGAGTTTCCGGCGACTCGGAGAGACCTTTCCGGCGAGGCTTTCGGAGAAGAAGAGATCGGTGCGATATGGAAGGCGGCAGAGGTGGAGAGTGATCGCCATAGCACAGAGAGAGAGAGAGAGAGAGAGAGAGAGAGAGAGAGAGAGAGAGAGAAGGAAAGGCGCGTGGAGAGAGAGAGAGACTGGTGGGATTGGCACTCGTGGTGTTCGTTTTATCTACAGACCAACAATGTGCTTGTGCTCCATGAATATTTCGTGTTTTTATATAATTATTTGTTTATTATGTGTTTTTTTCTATTTTGGAAGCTTGTCGTTTTATGGAGAGGATCGGATTTAAGGGTCGTCGTTTCGATTCTGAACGGCATTCGCGTACATGTCAAATTACTGAAAAGGCCAGGTGATAGGAACCTTGCTTTTGGAATGCACTATCAATTAATGGCTCTTACCATTTAAACGAAATGGGACAGAAAAAAATTTGTGGATTTGGAAATTTATCTAACAATTCGTTCGCTCCTAGACAAAAAGGAAAGATGTAGAAGTATTTGGTTAGGTCTTTTATGGAAGAAACGATATAATTTATTATTTTTAAAAAGGAAGACAATTACAATTTTCAAAAAGGTCATGTAAAAGTTGCACAATTACAATTTTCAGAGGAATTAAGTAATTTTTTTGGAGTAATTGTAGGTGTATTGAGGTAGACCACGTGGTGTATCATGAGCTCGGGTCGCTTTTTTAGAGGTAATTGTAGTGGAAAATATCATCCATGTCGTTAACTCAACACATGTCAATGGATATAACCAAGATCTTAAATATCGTTGATTTCAGAAATATCGATAGTTCAAAAACCTGGAAATAATCTATTATTCATAATATTTAACAACATTAATATTTTACATTTTATATATTGCATTCATTTGAAATTCTGGCTTCAATTCATCTTCGATGCTAGTTTCAGGCATTCTTGATGACGCTTGATGTCGAACACCCTAATAAGAATGTCTTCAATGACCTGGCCAAAACCCAAATGGAAAATATGAAAGATGAAGCTAATTAAGACGATAAACAATTTAGGTATATGGAAACTACCTCATCTGGAGTAGAGGCACCAATAGTAAAAGGACCTTGAGGCAGAAATTTCTATTTTCCTTAACCAACTTGTACATTGCATCTTGTCGCTCTTGTGTATATGGAAACTACCTCATCTGGAGTAGAGGCACCAATAGTAAAAGGACCTTGAGGCAGAAATTTCTATTTTCCTTAACCATCTTGTACATTGCATCTTGTCGCTCTTGTAAAAGGAAGAGAGACAAATCACACCTTTCAGTCTCAAAAAATGTATGGCTTTGCACGGTGTAACGATGTCCTTATTTAAGAAAGATAAGAGAGAAATATAATCTAATGATCGTAAGGGTTTACTTTTGGGTTTTCTTCTAAGGATGTAAAAGGTATCTTAAATTATTTAGCAATTTGATTAATTATTCCTATTTTCGTTTCGGTCAATCCAACAAACTATACTTTGTTTTTTTGTTCGTTTTTCACATTTTAAATGACATCATGGATGCCCCTTTGAAAATGACTACATATTGTTTTGATTGTTGACTTGTATTGTGAGTAGGTCCAACCAAGGATGCGCGCACTTTTTTTTAAATAAAAACATTATTAACATAGAAAACTTCCTTAACTATACTGGTAATCAAAGAGTAATAAAGCAGCAGATATGGGTTAGGTTAGTTGGTCAGATATAGGTATAGCATGATTATATCATTAATCACATATCAAAATAGAACGTAATATTGTTTCATGATCCTAATATAATTTTGAATAAAAATAAATGTTATGATTATAATATATATAAAAAATACACTCATGGTCATGGATGCACTTCTAATTTATTAACTATATATACCAAGATTTATTTAAAAATATATAATTTTAAATTGTTCCTCGGAATTTTGTTTTCTTTACAAAATTTGAATTAGCAAGCAATTTTAATTGTTTTTTCAATTAATTATATGATACTTCAAGAAAGTTTGTAACCGTATAAGACTCATAAAATTGTATTAAGTTTACAAAAGATTTGGACAATGCAAATGACAAGTCTGTCATATGTTGTCGAATTCTCCTTTAATGGTGGGTTGAGTTGAGTTACTTCCAAATAGTATTCTATTATTTTCTTTATACAATCGATATCGGGACGAGGAGGAGGATTCGAACACAAATGCAAAACACTTGTATACATCGTCCACATTTTGCACCACAACGTGCTTCCTAGCAAAAGAAGCAATGGCTACAGTTTCCTCATGACCATATACACCATGAATGATTGAAGTGTAGTGTCCTTTCTTGTGCTTCTCCACAGTGTTTCAGACCTTCACACAAACAGACACATATTTTAATTTTTCTTCAAAAATGGAATGAAATATAATAAATAAATAAATAACCAACCTTGGTAACCCAGGGGCAAGTAGTGTCAACAATTTGAACATCTTTGTTAGTCAAGGTCATCCACTCCTGCTCCAAAAGCAGGCAAAATGACCACATCGCCCTTGCGCACCATCTCAAATTGCCTCAGCCGCCCTTCCTCTCTCGGAATTCTCTCTACCTTTCCTCCAATCGCTGCCCATATTCAAATTAATAATTTAATTAACTAAATAACTAATCAATTACCTAATAAATGAAATAATAATAATAATAATAAAGAGGACCTTATTGACCGTTGGATTATGGATGATCTCGTTGGTGATCCAAATCTTTTCATTAGGAAACTGCTTTCTTGCCTCGTAAGCAATCTAGACGGCTTTCTCGACAACAGAACCCGTGCGCCTCTGCGAGTTTCACCGTCACATTTCCCCATGTGTATTCCAACTCGTTCGCTTTCAATGTCTTTAAAATATCACCTGAAAAAATCAAAAAATAAAAATTAATTAAATTAATCCATTAATTAAGTGATTAGTTCCCAATTCTAAGGAGCTTACCAGTATAATCGCGGTTCATGAGCTTGAGGGTCACTTCTTTGTGGCCGAAGCCTCTGTGATTGTAGTTCTTGCTTCGAGTGAGGTTCTTGCGAAACACCTTGGCGTCGAATTTGGGCTCGATGGCCGCCATAGAGGAGGAGTCGTCGAAGCATGGGATGGACAGAAGTTTCCGGTGATGTAGAGAGGCGTTTCCGGCAATGCTATTGGAGAAGAAGAGATCGGGTCAGGTTTGCGGTGGCAGAGGTGGAGAATGATTGCTAGTGCAGAGCAAGAGAGTGGGAGAGGCGCGTATGTTATGGCTGAGCGCGTGAAGAGGTACTGGTGCGGAATTAGCTGTGGTTTTTAATTGACATGACGACATTCATTAATTGACTTGGCATGACACATAAATTGCACATAAGGTGGTCAACTAAAGTGGTCAAGGTTGTGTGTCTAAATAACATTACTCTTATTTTTATCCATAAATAGTAAGTTGTCCTTTTATTTGTTTAGTATTTTCTGGGAAGTTTGGCCTAAAATGTAGAGAATCAAATTTCTAGAAAGGTTGGCACCTTGTTTTATGAAAGTCTTTCTCGTTTAGGAGAGAGTTCAGCGCTTTAACCCTATCAAACTTCCGATAGGCCAAAATTGCTTACCAAACTTTTAGGTGGGTTTTGTTGGCTATGGAACTTTTACCGGCACACTTCTTTGTTTTTTTCCTTTCCAAGTTGAATAAGGTCTATTTTGGTTTTAAAATATTTTCTCCCTTTTTTTTTTGCCCAAAATACTCTTATGTTTTTCTTATAAAGTGTTATTCTAAATTATTTTAATGTACGGCGAGAGAGATCAAACTGGCCCAATTCACGAGAAATTATAAAATAGTACCGTACTACCACCTCAACTTATGATACTTCCATTAAGAGAGAGAGAGAGAGAGAGAGAGAGAGAGAGAGAGAGAGAGAGAGAGAGAGAGAGAGAGAGAGAGAGAGAGAGAGAGAGAGAGAGAGAGAGAGAGAGAGAGAGAGAGAGAGAGAGAGAGAGAGAGAGAGAGAGAGAGAGAGAGAGAGAGAGAGAGAGAGAGAGAGAGAGAGAGAGAGAGAGAGAGAGAGAGAGAGAGAGAGAGAGAGAGAGAGAGAGAGAGAGAGAGAGAGAGAGAGAGAGAGAGAGAGAGAGAGAGAGAGAGAGAGAGAGAGAGAGAGAGAGAGAGAGAGAGAGAGAGAGAGAGAGAGAGAGAGAGAGAGAGAGAGAGAGAGAGAGAGAGAGAGAGAGAGAGAGAGAGAGAGAGAGAGAGAGAGAGAGAGAGAGAGAGAGAGAGAGAGAGAGAGAGAGAGAGAGAGAGAGAGAGAGAGAGAGAGAGAGAGAGAGAGAGAGAGGAGGAGGAGGAGGAGGAAGAAGAAGAAGATAGGGGAGGCAGTGCAGTGGCGTTGTAGGAAGATTGGGTTGGGGTGGGAGGTGGATTCTGTCGTCTTCTATGTTCTTTTCTTTTCTTTTAGTTTTTTTTTCTTTTTAAGTTTATTCTAAATGGTATACATTATTTTAAATCCAGCTGTAAAAAAAGTTCAAATGTTTTATAAAACCATGACACATGACATATTTTTAATAGAAGTATCATAAGCTGAGGTGGTAGTATAGTACTATTCTATAATTTCTCCCAATCTATATCTGCTAAAATACTCATTTGTTTAAAAACTTTATTTTTTAGGTATGTTCCACATTTTTGTTTAGGCACATATTTTGGGTTGATTATGTGCGACTTCTTCTAATGATGCAAGATAATTTCATCTATAAAGGAGAATACACCAAAACAGAAAGCAATCGAGATAACCACAGTACCTAATGGAAGGTGGCTAAATAAATATAAATATACTTTAATCCAAGTACCTAATTAATCGAATGCAGCTAATGGAAAGCGAAGATCTCAATTACAAAAACGAATATAAATAAGTATATAATATACCTCAATCATAGTGCCTAATCGAATATAAATAATAAAAATTAATTAATTAAATAATTATTTAACAATGTGTCAACATATTAATAGTTGGATAAAGAGGTAATGGTAACTAAAAGGGATTTGGATCCCCTGCTCTGATTTTCTCTGCCATGATCTGCTATACTTTTGTTATCCATACGACACCTCATTAAAATTTAATCTAATGGATTTACAAATTGACACATCATCCTAAAACAAAAACCCAATTTACTCCTAATTAAAAAAGGAAAAAAAACCTAACACCCAACTAACGGGATGGTTAACGTCCAAAGTTGTTTTTTTTTTTCTCCTTCTTGCTTCAGTGTCCTCTTCTCTTTCTCGGGTTCTTCCTTATGTTATGGTTTCTTTTTTCCCTCTTCATGTCTCTGCTCAAAATCAATTTTATGGAGTATAATTGGCCGGATCCAATCATCACCAGACAAAAGCTTTGAGTTTGTTTGATTGATAGGAAGTAATCTGTATTTTGTGTACGTACTATACGTGCCCAGGTCGATGCAGCAGTTCTCCAGTACCAGAACCAGAGACTTCTTCCGCAAATAGACAAATAGAAGCATGATTTGCAAGATCTTGAAGCGAAAATTAAGGAACTAAAGGATAAGCAAGGTTCTTATGATGAAATGCTAATCACAGTGAATCAAATATGGAATCATGTTTGGTTGGGTTTCCTTCCTTTTCATGGTCTCAATTGTGTCCACCAGGATGACATGTAATTTTTTTTTCTGATGGTGATTTCTTTATTTTCTGATGATTAAATTTTTCTTGGACTATGTGCTGGAGGAAGCCAAAATGCTTTACAAATTTTAGATGGCACTGATTATTCCCGAGGGTTTTCTTTTTAGGCCTGTAAATTCAAAAATCCATCCAGTCCTTCACTATGAGCCATCGGTAATTACAATCAAACAAACTCAAAGCTTTTGTCTGGTGATGATTGGATCCGGCCAATTATACTCCATAAAATTGATTTTGAGCAGAGACATGAAGAGGGAAAAAAGAAACCATAACATAAGGAAGAACCCGAGAAAGAGAAGAGGACACTGAAGCAAGAAGGAGAAGAAAAAAAACAACTTTGGACGTTAACCATCCCGTTAGTTGGGTGTTAGGTTTTTTTTCCTTTTTTAATTAGGAGTAAATTGGGTTTTTGTTTTAGGATGATGTGTCAATTTGTAAATCCATTAGATTAAATTTTAATGAGGTGTCGTATGGATAACAAAAATATAGCAGATCATGGCAGAGAAAATCAGAGCAGAGGATCCGTATCCACATATCTCTCACAAACACCATGACATAACCAACCAAAAACACGAAACCAAATGAGAATACCATGGAATTCTCAAATCCATATGCCATACAACACTCAGATCATACTGGACTTATCCTAGCTTCCAAACCACTTGATGGGAACATGATTGTTATATGGGAGCTAGGATAAGTCCAGTATGATCTGAGTGGTGCATGGCATATGGATCTGAGAATTTCATGGTATTCTCATCTCGTCGATGCTCTGATACCAACTTGAATTGAGAATTTGTATATTGTATTGATATAAATATTGGTACACAAGGTAAGATTTTATACAGAACCTATGTGCTATTCTAAGTAAACAAATCCTAAAATAAAGCTAATTACATTTACATCCTATAATTACTCCATCCCAAAAGTTGACAATTTCAAAAGCTACAATCACTCTCAATCAGATCGTGTAATTGCTTTTCCTTTAACAGAGACTACACCTAAAACTAATGGCTTGGCCTTGGAAAGAATCACCACCTCGATTCTAACCTAAAACATCACCATATCAAACCGACAAATATAAGCAAACCCAACACCAAACCCAGCAATATTTCATAGATCAAAATCACAAGTTATAGGTCCCTCAAAACGAAGGAGAGAGAGAGAGAGAGAGAGAGAGAAGCAGGATTTGCGAATAAATAAATGCAAACTATTTATGAATTTTAAATGAGATCAGTTAACATCAATTTCATCATAAGCTTGAAAGTTAGGATAAGTGGATGCCTAAAAAAACCCGTGTAATGATTACAAGAGTAACATAGGAAGACTATAATTAATTATTTCTTAAATAAATAAATAAACAACCTTAAAATATTAAAATTTGTTATATGCTGACGTGGAGGAAGGAGAGGGCTGTTTTTGCTGCTTATAATTATATATTCGTATATTAATTTTGTGTGTGAATCATTGGCTGATTTCTTGTAATCGTGAATAGAGTTAGAATCCTCTCTTCTATCTGCCTTCTTTTGTAACGAAAAACAAAGTGAAAAGCAGAAAAGAAATCCCAAGGAAAAAAGGAGAAAAATATTTTCGAAACTTGACTTGCAAGAAATTAGACTCTTTTGACTAAAACAAGGAGAAGAAGTTGATTTCCGACTTTTCCCTACTCCACACGGATTTAAAACCCTCTATAAATACTAGTTTAATGTCACTACTATCGGATCTATCTTGGACTTAAAACTTCTCTCTTTTGAGTTTTGACATCACAATGCATGCATATCACTACATCAATGAGGACTTCAAATATGGCGTCCAGCCCCTTGAGCTAGACTACCAGCCTGATCATTGTGATCATGATGATAAATCTTCGTTTTCATCACAAAGGTTATTAATCCATATCGACTTCGCATTATTCGTGCGCAACAAATACTACGTGATCGATGTCTCGAAAGGCGGAAATACCAAAAGTACTCCTGTATACCAATGTGAAGATGTAGAATCTGTGAAAGAAGCAACACGCAAACTTAACGTGAGTTGTGTAGAAACTATGCACAGCAACGTCAAATTTGTTCTTTATCACACGCTTCGTTCTGCATTTAGAATAGAAGAGGGTTCGCAAGATGCAATAGTGGAAGAGATTATAGACGCCGTGAGCAACATAATTGGCAATTCAGGTTCAAAAAAGGGTTCCAATACAATGCTTGGCTTGAAGGTTATTATGAGAAGAGACCGTATCTTGTGGCGATGTGAGAGGTGCACAAAGGAGTTTTTGATCAGGAAGATGATGAAGACGGTTAAGGTGGTGGCTGATGATAATGGAAAAGAGTGTGATGGTGATGAGGGGGAGGGTCGAGAAAGAAAAAGAAGATGTGTAGTGGGAGAAAGTGAGCTTTGCCCTATTTGTATGGAAGAGTTTGTTGTTGGATCAGAAGATGTTACTTGCATGCCTTGCTCACACGTGTTTCATGAAACATGCATAGGAGTATGGCTAGATG